CAGAGCCCGTTTGCGAGATAGTTTCGGATGGTGTTTTCGTACGCTTCCTGTAGCATCTTGATCAACCTGGCGCGTCGGCGGCCTGTCTGTTTTGAATATGCCAAAGTGAACAATCGCTGACGCGTAGGGGTCTACGAGCATTCAGGGCGAGGTTTGGTGATATTGGTGTCTTCCTCAGTGAATGAACATTCGTATGGCGTTTGTATGGTGCCGCAGCTTTGTGATGTCAAAAGAACTATCGTCAGGGCACGGGTGGGACTGGGCTCGAGTGGGAGACAACGCGTGGAGAGCCAGCGGCGTGAACAAGTGCGCGCAGCTGTTCAGGCGGCAGCCCTTCGATTGCCCCGGCAGCGGTTGCGCCCGTAAAAATGAACAGGTGGGAATAACTCGGCTCGATTGGAATGCCGCCTTTCTGTAGGCAGCTGGGCTGCAACCCGGGCCTTGTTGAGCAAGCATGGAGATGATGCACTGAATCGGGTAGTTAGATGCCGACGAACTGGCATACCGCGAGGCGGACAAAATATCCACGAGTCGAGCTCCAGGGGCATGACGAAGATACTTGCAGAAGATGCGAGAAATGCGAGAGAATGGCTGGGTCATTGCGAAATCGGGTATCATTTTTGAATAAACAGGTTGCCTGCTGTCTAATGTGTCCTTTGCGCCGAGGCAGAGCGGCCCACCACCACGATGGCTGGTCCCGAATCGTTGCGTTGCTAGGTAACGATCAAGTCTTACCCAGCATGACTCGTTGAGGCAGCGCCTGGATGCCTTGTTGCTGCATCGCAACCCTCGTGTCGTGGACCTTGCGGTCAATAGTCTTGAAGTCAAAGACGCCGTCCAACTCGCCCCGAATGGCCATGAGCTGGTCCTGCGCCTTGCGGATCTCATCGGGCTTGTTGTCATGCAACACGTGCGACTTCACCTGGAGGATCCAGCGGCTTTGGCCATCCATCGGCGTGAGCGAGTCCCAGGACGGCAGCGTGCGCAAGGGCTCGGTCATCTGGTGTTGCGCTGATCCGAGCGGCGTGTAGTCGTTTATGGGTTTGACGAAGAAATGTCTTGATAGACAGAACTCGATGTCATCGCGGAAGAACCGGTAGAGCTCCTCGACAGTCTCAGTCTTGAATCTGCGCCAAGTCAGCAGGCGGAGGCAACGATGCATCTGAGGTGACACGTACTGGTGATGATTGTCCCGCATCACCGACAGAAGTTTCTTCTGATCCCACAGCTCGACGATCTTGCGCTGCGTGAGAACTGGCCGCGCGGTTGGAGGATCAGGAAAGTCGGACCATCGCAGGATCCCCGAAACGGCATCGAGATCTTGCGGTACTGCTGAAGGGCCCATGTCACGGTCTTTGAGGACCTCGTAGCGTGCTTGGAGAATAAAGGACTGGCGACTGAGATTTTGATGCAGGTCTTTGTACAGAAATGCGACGTCTTTTCGCATAGGCTTGTCAATGGAGCTCTGGTTCGAGATGCCTGCTGGCCGCGGAGGTCCTTGGAAGTAAAGGACTCGTTGGATCGTCTCCCATGGCGGCATGGCGCAGAAACCGCCTAAGACGGCACATGCCGCCTGAAAGTCGCTGTCCTCGACGAGCGCCGTGAGAAAGAGCTCGTACATGATGATCGGAGCGGCCTGTGATGGCAAACGTAGGCGTGCCGCCTTTGACGCGCTTGGTACGATTGTACAGCTTCGAGAATAGAATTGTCCGTTGTGCAGGAAAATCGATGTCAGAAACGCCAAACAATCAGGTAGACCAGATAATCTCAGGTTGATAGGCTGCTCTTGTAGGCAATGGCGATTTGGGTAAGCTTAAGGCGAGGTTTATCGTGATCCTTTGAGCTCCAGGGAGCTCCGATGGGTGGCACAGGTGGGGGTCCTGCTGAGCAACTCGGCATCTGCACGCACGTGATCTCGCGTTCCCGATTTCCGCGTCCCACTCGGGGGTGCCGCGTGCCATCAGGTCCATGGGCATCGTCAACTTTCCCCGCGCCGTGTCGCACGTCTGCCTCTCCAAGTGGCATGCGACGGCTCGCGCGACTCTCACATCAGAAAGCTGGCGGCATGATGGCACCATCGAGCCCGCCACTCAAGCGGAAGGCCGCAGAGGCTCCCATCTCCCCGCCTCCAGTCAAGCGCGCACTGCAGAGCAACACGACGAGTGAGACGGCCCCTTAAGGTGCGCTGACCAAACGCTAACCTGTCTATCCAAGAAAGCGCCGTCGCCAACTTCTTCACCCCAGCTTCCCAGAAGCCAAAAGACCGAACGGCGTGGTCACAGCGAGGACCGAGTGACGACGTGCTCGCGACCCTGCTCGTGGGCAGCTTCGTGCCGGAGAAGCACGACGTGAGCGCCTCACCTCGACGAAAGATTGCAGCTTTCGACCTCGACTCGACACTCATTACGACGTCATCTGGAAAGAAGCATGCCAGCACAGCGACAGACTGGAAATGGTGGGACAGCGCAGTGCCAGGCCGGTTGCGAGAGCTCTACAACGACCAAGGCTACCAAGTCGTCATTCTCTCCAACCAGGCCGGCCTGACGTTACAGTTTGAGCCTGGATTCAAGGGCCCCAAGGCAAACGCACAGAAGCGGGTCAGCGAGTTTAAGCAAAAATGCAGCGCCATTCTGAACAGCCTGAATCTGCCGACCAGCGTGTACGCCGCCACAGGGCGAGACATATACAGGAAGCCCAGAACAGGGATGTGGAAAGAGGTCTGTGAAGACTACGACATTCCCGAGGGCGAGGTCGATCTGAAGAACAGCTTCTTCGTCGGCGATGCAGGCGGTCGCGTTGCAGGGCTTGCCGGCGACTCTGATGGCGTCGCGGCGACCGCCAAGGACTTTAGCTGCTCAGACAGGAACTTTGCCCACAACGTTGGCATCGATTACAAGACCCCGGAAGAGTTCTTCCTCGGACACAAGCCGAGAAACTTCCAGCGCGACTTTGACTTGGCCAACTTTCCGTACCACCAAGAAGCGCCGCCATCGGCCGCCCCCATCTTGGAGAAGACCAACGACAAAGATGTCGTCATATTCTGCGGGCCTCCGGGCGCCGGCAAGAGCACGTTCTTTTGGAACCATCTCAAGCCTCTCGGATACGAAAGGATAAACCAGGACACGCTCAAGACTCGCGACAAGTGCGTGCAGGCTGCCAAGGAAATGTTGGCTCGCGGAGCATCCGTAGCCATAGGTTGGTTCTGCCTCGCGTCCGCTGCAAGATGATGAGACTTACACCATGCCACCAGACAACACGAATGCGGACCCAGACACGCGAGCCGTGTGGATAGAGGTGGCAAACAAGGCCAAGGTGCCAATCCGTTGCGTGTGGTTTCGCACGCCACTGCATGTATGCGAGCACAACGACGCCGTCCGTGCGCACAACGCGGCGCTGAATCCCGAAGCGAGACAAGGCCTGCCGAAGCTGGCCTTCACCGGGTTCGCCTCACGGTACAAGGAGCCCAAGGTCAAGGAGGGTTTCCAGGACATCATCGAAGTCGACTTTCAGTTTCGGGGGAGCCATGACGACTACAAGATCTGGGGCCGATACTGGACGTAGCGTGACTCATGCTTATTGGGAGGCCGACCGACCTCTTTCTGGGCGATAATCTCGAAGCCGTGAAGTGGCATTCTCCACTGGGATGATAGAAACATGGCTATCGCGTGCGGCACCCTCGATGCAACCCGTGCCAAGATCAAGCGGGCAGCGCAAAACGGCAGTCCCGACGAAACCAAAGCCAACGAAGTACATGCATGCGTTACATCAGCCCACGCCCGTGCGCCGACCCTTGGCGTCTGGGCGAAGCTGTCAACGTCAATTACAAACAGTATGGACTACGGACTACGGACTAGTTGTAGGGTAGTACCCGTGTGGGCTGTTGGCCGCGAGCACCGACGATCACTTTTTCCCGTGTTGGCTATTGACAACTGGTTAGGCTGCAGGTCGGAGTGACTGCCGGAAAAGACAAAGTTGACGACTGGTGACGCCGCGCCAGCGTCATCTGCCAACATGCGGAAGCCAGGTAGAATCGAGAACAGGCCCCTTATTCGTTGTGCCGTCTGCCCTTGAGGAGGATGTTGGCGGGGCCGCCGAGTCGCCAACGACGGTGTGGCACCCGCACTGACCATGCCCATGCCGGCCACAGTGAAGAAATATTGCCAACTCGCAGGCCCCGTGATAACGCACTCATTGACGTGGTGGTGTGGCACACTGGATGCACGCGGTTCTCCTCGACGGCGACGCACCTCTGTCGCTTGGGAGATGCCGGTCCATCCCGGGCATCTGCAAATATTGTACGGAGTACTGTACGTCCCAGACGACACCAAAGAGAATGCTGCTCGGACATCGTCCCACACACGACGCCAAGCGAAGCCCACCGCACCCCACCGCGACGGAGGGTTCGGTCTCGCAAGGGCAGCGTTCGGATGGAGACTGCGGAGTTGGACAGTGCAATATCTGCCTCGAGTAAATTTCTCAGGCCCCCTCCGGCGGCGGCGGCGCGCTTTCATACCGCGCAATAGGGCGAGACACGCCCATCAGCCGCTTCGCAGCCGAGTGGCTTGGGATGGCCGTGTGGCTCAATGGCAGAGCGTCTGACTACGATTCTCTAGATAATCAGGAGGTTGCAGGTTCGAGACCTGCCTCGGTCAATCTTTTTGCCTGTTGAGTGCGTTTTCTTTTTGCGTTCCTGAAGGTTCCTTATGGTTGCGCTGTCGTGAGGGTGACTGACGTGGTGGACGTGTTGCGTGCGATCCGGGACCAGTCCGCGGCATAAAAAAAGTTTAGGGCCCGGATCGCATCGTTGCCGGCGAAAAAGCCCACCTGGGCACCTGCCACCCAAGCAAAATTGGCCGGAAGCGCACGAGCCGCTGCACGCTCAAAGGCAGAGCGGGAACGATTCCCAGGACAAGCAACCCGCCTTGCTCCTGGTCGTATCAGAAAAAAAAAACCTGAGAGAAAAAACAGGGCAAAAAGAAAAAAAGCAAGCGAATGCTGTTTGACCGAGGCAGGTCTCGAACCTGCAACCTCCTGATTATCTAGAGAATCGTAGTCAGACGCTCTGCCATTGAGCCACACGGCCAGATGCTATTCGCACTGCATATTGGAGAGTGACTTATCAGCTACTATGAAGAATGCCCGCACCGCCTCGACCCGTGACCCTTGGCACCCAGCGCCATGACCAGGCTTGCATGCCCAGGAAGCCATCCGTCTTGGCTGACGATCCAGGGCGGCCTGCTGTGCCGAGTTCCAGCGCCACAATCGACGACGACAACGTCTACTGGCTGGCCTGGCCTGGCCTGGCGATGCCTGCGACTCGTGGCGTTTGGCCATCAGCAACCTAGACAAACAAGCGAGCAGGTCGTCTGGTCACGCATCATCACTACGGGTGGGCAGCGCGAAGGATCCGACTATCGCCGAATTCTCGGTTGCATTGCAAATAGAAGACGATCCATTTGCCGGAGGAAGGGGGGGGGGGGGGGAAACCAGCAGCAACCGCAACCCCGGGGGATCCCCTGGAGAGCGCGCGCGCAGTGTGGCCCATCCCGCGTGCCCCCAGCAGACTGACCGAGTCCGTGCCCATCCCACATCCCACGCGGCGGTCCGTCGTCGTCGTCGTGCCATGCCGTATGCCGCTGCTACTGCTGCTGCTGCTGTTGCTGCCCACGGGGGACCAAGCGCGAGCATCTCCTCCTGCGGGCCGCCGCCGCCGCGGCCGAGCGAGCACGTCTCTTGCTCACCTTGGACCACCTCCGGGGCAGAGAAGAGACAGGGACAAGGACAGCAGCGCGGCCAGTGCATCGCCACATCAGCGCTGACTGAACTGTCTGTCGTCTGCCTCGCTCGGCATGCCTCCGACGCCGCCGGCGCCTTGTCCCTACCGCGCGCCGCGACGACGACGCCCACGAACAAACGGGCGGCGTCCTCTCCGCACGTCGCACACGGTGGTGGAGCGAGAGCTTGTTGGCGGCCCGGCCGCGAACAGCGAACGAGTCGCGCGCGCAGAAGCCAAGCCCGCTGCCGGGCACGAACGGGGAAGAAGGATCTCATCAAGCAGCCAAAAAGCGACGGGTGATGGGACGACGGAGTGGGCGGCACCCTCCCTCCCCCCAGGCAGAACTGACCTTTTTTTCCGTCCTCGTAGGCCACGAAGCTCGCCTCGGCCAACCTCCGGCCAGCTGAGCGAGAGAGAAGGTGAGGTGAGGCTTCCGCACCGCACTCCACCGCGAACATCCAGGGCCTGGGGCGCCGCGCCCCGTAATCTGCCTGTTTGGCCCCTCAACTCGCGCGACGGGGAGGAGCCCGCTGTACAGGGCTCTGTTGCGTGCGCGGGAGCGCCGCGGGAGATGGGCTGGGCGTGCGCTAACGTGGGAAAAGCGGAGTTGCCGGCGTTGGTGGCGGCGGGGATTTGGGGTGGGGGGAACAGGAAGATTACCGAACGACTTCTGCTGCTGCTGGTGGTGGTGCTGCTTCTGCTTCTGCTTGCAGCAGCGAAAACGGACCATGTTTATCAGGTGGCGATGCATGCTGGGGGCTTCGGGGGCGTGTCCCATGCAATAGCCGCGGGAGCTGAGGCGAATTCAAAATCCCGTCCACGCTGAGAGGGAGGCACAAGTGACAAGATGCAGACGATGTGCGCGTGTCGTCGAACACTCGTACGGGGTACAGTATCTGCGTATGATATACAGCGACTACGGTATACACGGTAGGCGCCTTGTCTCCGTACGAGGCGGCGCGTAACAGGCCCAAGCAACAACAAGGGCGCGATGATGCAAGAGAGACAGACGAAGTAGAACCGGGTAGAAGAAGCCCCTCCCTAGGTAGCCACGAGGCACACACGCGAGCGCGCGCCCGCCTTCCAGCAAGGGAACAGAGGCGCATTCCCCGTTGGACCAATGCGTGCGTGCCGGCGCGAGAGCCTGCGACGATGATTTAGGGTTTGGAGTGCCCTCGCGGGGAGGGAGGGTGCCTGTTTCTACTAAACTAAAGCTTCCACAGCTTCCAACGACGGCCTGGGTCGTGGTGTCCGTGTCTCGCCGTTGGCGATGCGGGCGGGTGGCAGCCTGTACGGAGTAGGGCCAACGGAACTCAGCTATGTAAGTGGCACGCACAGGGGCATGCCGTCGTGGCGCGCACGACGCCCCCCGAAGGAGGGTGAGATCCTCGCTGCCAGATCCGCGGGCAGGCAATTCTCCAACCCGATACCTACCTTGGCATCGTCGGCCTCTGTCTCTCGTCGGGGCGCCGCCGCCGTTGTTGGTCGCCTCCACAAGGCCCTCCATCCATGCATCTCTGCCCTCCACCACCACCACGACACCACCCACAACCACTTACACGCACTAACACGGCCCCAACTCGCCAACCCCAACCCCCAGCAGCACCCACACGAGCAGCACCTCGTCGTCGTGCTGCAGCACGCATCTCCGTCCCCACGACGCTTGCTTGCTTGCCCGCGAGAATAATCCCTGCTCCCCCCCTGGGGTGCTCACGTCCCACGATCCACCATTCATGGATGATGATGGGAGGGGGGCGCGCCCCAGGGCTTGCATCCCGGAACCTGGGCGGCGTGCAAGACGCACCTCTGTCGCCCTCGTCCGCCGCCGCCCTGGCTTCGCTAATACCCCACAGCACAGGGCCCTCCTCCGGCCGGTACTCGGCCTCTCCTCCTCCTCATCCTCCATGGAGACGGGGCAGCACACCGTCGCTTCGTCGACGGACAACATATAAGAGATCTGCCCTCGCACCCACGGGCCTAAGCTCCTCCTCCTCGTGCTCCGCGTCCCGCATCCGCCCCTCCCCCATCACCATCCTCCTCATCCCTTCTCTCTCTATTGTCTTCCCCGTACCCCGGACCTCTCTGTGTCACTTGCACAGGACAGCTGCCCTCCCCGACCCCACAGCAGGTACAAGACAAGACAAAACAAGACAAGACAAGGCCAGGCCAGGCCAAGGGCAAAAAAACACCACAACAGATAACAAACAAACACTACAACACCCGTCACCATGGCAGGCGGCGTCAAGAAGCCCGTCAACATCTTCCGCCTCAAGGACTTGGGCGAGCCCGAGGGCGTCTTCAACTGGCGCCTGTGGTTCGCCGTCGTCTCCTTTGGCCTGCTCGGCGCCGCGCGCGGCATCGACGAGGGCCTCATCTCGGGCGCCTTCAACTCGCCCGACTTCAAGGACATGATCAACTACTCGAGCTACTCCAAGGTCGACCAGGCCAACATCAAGGCCAATGTCTCCGCCATGGTCCAGATCGGCTCCGTCGCCGGCGCCCTCATGTGAGTCTTTGTGTGTCTCATGACTGAACACCCAACAAAAACCAAAACAACAAGAGCGGCGGCGCAGTCGCTTTCTTTGGGGTTGCACAATGACACCGCATGCTGACGTCGGAACCACCCCTCTTTCCACAGCGCCTTCTTGATTTGCGATCGCATTGGCCGTATCCAAGCAACCCGCGTCCTCTGCACGCTGTGGGTCGTCGGCATCATCATCTTCATGGTTGGTGGCGTCAATGGCAACCTGGGCGCCGTCTATGCTGGCCGCTTCATCGCCGGTCTCGGTGTCGGTCAGACGCCCGTTGTTGGGTGAGTAGCTTCCAGTAGCTGTACCTGCCCGAGTTCCTCCAGGTCTCTAACGCTGGTTCAAGCCCCGTCTACATCGCCGAAGTTGCCCCCGCGTCCGTTCGAGGTCTCTGCACGTGCTTCTTCACAGGCGCCGTCTACATTGGCATCGTCCTGGCCTACTTCACCAACTACGGAGCCGCCCTGCACATCGATGGCCACAGCCACAACCGCTGGCTCGTGCCCACCAGCCTCCACATCATGATGGCCGGCATCATCTTCATCCTCACCTTCTTCCAGTATGAGTCGCCGCGCTTCCTCGTCAAGCAGGGCAAGCCCGAGCGCGCCGCCCAGGTCATGTCCAAGCTCCGCCAGCTGCCCATCGAGAGCGATTACGTTGTCGGCGAGATCACCGCCATCCAGGCCGCCCTCGACCACGAGCTCGAGGCGACCAAGGGCGTTGGCTGGCTCGGCAAGATCAAGGAGATGTTCCTGGACAAGAGCAACCTCTACCGCGTCTACCTCGCCACCATGGTCCAGCTCCTCTCCCAGTGGTCCGGCGCCGGCTCCATTACCCTTTACGCCCCCGACCTCTTCGCCCTGCTTGGCATCACTGGCACTGAAGAGGGCCTGCTCGTCACTGCCGTCTTTGGCATCATCAAGCTGATCGCGGCTCTCATGTGCGCGCTGTTCCTGGTCGATGTCATCGGTCGAAAGCGCGCCCTCCTTACGGGCATCACGCTCCAGGCCATCGCCATGATCTATGTCGCAGGCTTCCTGACCGCCGTTCCGGAAATGGGTGTCGTCAAGGACTTCGTGCTGCCCGACGACAAGAAGGGAGCGAGTCGGGGCGCCATTGCCATGATTTACATCTCTGGCTTCGGATGGGCTCTCGGCTGGAACTCCATGCAGTACCTCCTCACCGCTGAGCTGTTCCCCTCAGGATCCGTGCCCTGGCTACATCTTGGGCCATGACCCTGCACTTTGCCAACCAGTACGGCAACTCTCGTGCCGTTCCCAACATGTTGCTCCCCGTCTCCAGCGGCGGCATCTCCCCCAAGGGCACCTTTTGGTGCTTCGCAGCCGGTAAGCTTTCCCCATGACTGCTCACATGCCAGATCACGCGCTAACTATGGACTAGTCACTATTGTCGGCGGCGTCTGGGTCTGGTTCTCCGTGCCCGAGACCAGCGGCCGTACCCTGGAGAGCATGGACCGCCTGTTCGAGCTTCCCTGGTACAAGATCGGTCTGCACGGAAACAAGGACGCCGAGCAGAAGGACCTGGCCTACAATGAGAAGCAGCGCGTTGCGGAGGAGGAGCGCGGGACGCAGCAGCACGTTGAGAAGACGATTGGCGTGTAGAAGCAAGTCGGCGTGAAGACGTGTAACGATTTGAAATGACCTAGTACCCGGTACATTACCTGTATATTCGAGCCATGAGTGTACATCTGGCGCAAGCCTATCGAGAAGATTGAAAGGCTCGGAAACAATACATGTACACAACCTGCTGGAGACCAGT